CTTTGGAAAATAATTCTTCGAAGTTGATTTTTTGATATATTTGTAAATTTTGTCAATTCCTTTTTGTAATCATCAATGTGTCGAAGAAAATGGGTAAAAATCATGGATGAAATCGAACAAACTGCAACCTGTTCCATTGGGATTAAAATCCTCTCCGTATAATAATGTTCGAGGACGATGCGCGAGATCGATCGAGAGACCACCCTGTTGTTGCTCTCCCAACAAAAGGCGGATCAAGATCTAGGTTGATTGAACTGAATTAACGCGTTAAAGCGCGAGGAACGAATGCGAGGAAAGGGACCGGACGGGGGACCGAAGAGAGCGGTAAACGAGCGATCGAAAACGCAGTTCCTGGGGGATGGGAGGGTTGCCAGGTACACCGTTCAAGGGGCATATGGAGAGAAACGTGGTAGTGCACCTGACCCATATAACGCCGCGGTATTGATCGACCTAATTCCGTTAAAAGCCGGCCACCACCACCTCCTCGCCCGCAGAGATTGCCCGCCGAAATTACGTAAGCTAACCTACTGACTCACTGCACCCGTTGCCGCGCCACGAACTTTCTTCTTCTCACACCTCTTTGCCCCCTCTTGAATAATGACTTTTCCAAATTTTTCCGAACGTTTTGTTCGTTCTTTTGGATTAAACTCGATCTCGAAGATCTTTGGAAAATAATTCTTCGAAATTTTTGGAATATTTGAAAAATGAGTGGTTAAATCTTTGGGTCTTTTGGATTGGAATGAAAGGTTTTGGAACCTTTGGAAAATGGGTCAAAGTTAAATCTTATTTGATTTTTGAACTTTTTGAAAATTGAATTTTTGGAAATTATTCTATTGAATTTTTTTGATATTTGGAAAATCATCATCTTTGGAACTCTTGAAGATGATATAATGGATCTTTACAATTTTGAAGAATGGACTTTGGATTTTTAAAAAAATTTTAAGTATACGATGTAGATTATTAATAAAATATTGAATTGATTAAAAATATACTTTTAGCAATGGAGTAAGATACGCGATCAAATTTTCATAATGTCACATATTCTGATAGCGAATATATATTTTTTTTAACAAAACATCCGTCAGTGTTCGAGACTTAAAAGGTTGGCAGCGATTTCATCCGATTTCATTGTTAGAAGCTATAAATTCTGCCACGTGGGTGCAAAGAAAATAGATATAACCCCGCTCGGTATAATTAGATGATCAAGTTACTCGAAGCATCCATATTGCTTCAAACATTCCAGCACACTGAACAGACATATCTAATATCTTTGTATTTATTTTACCATTAATATTAATGCAATTACTCTTTCTCGTATCCCTTAAACTATTATCTAATAACATACACTTTACATCCATAATTTATATTTCATCCAAAAAACAAGTTATCATTTTATATAACGAAAAACAATTTATAATTACAAATTTTATTTATGTCAAAGAAACACGAGGCTCTCAAATTCCTCTAATCGAAACGAGTACAAAAGAGTTAAATTTCCAATTTATATCAAACGTTTTCTTTAAATATTCCTCGCCACAGTACGATACCACGTAAACATTCGTATGGCAGGAAATCAGGAAACCATAAAATCCACCCACTAAAATATTCATTGCTGAACGTTCACTGGAAACCAATGTCCATAAACACCGAATAATTTAATCTCGGCCGTGCTAAAGACCGCGATCGTGATCGAAATTGATCGTCGAACGAAAATCGAACGGAAGATATTTCGAGCTGGTTTCGAAATTCACGAATTGTAAAAAGCGAGCGATCGATAGCCGCCTGGAATAATTCAATTCCATTGAACAACGAAAAGGATGCTAATGGGACGCGAAAACAGAAATATATATATCGTGAAAACGAATGTAATGATTTTAATAATCTTCAACGCGTTAAGAGCGTTATTAAGAGAGGGAAAAAAAATTAGCAATCATTTATTCACGAGTGTAATTGAAAGATATAATTGCAAACCGTGCTTTGATCAATTTAAATTTCTTATTTACACGTTTATTTAACCTTTCATACATAATGATATCCTAGATTGGAAATGAAGTTAATATTTATCGTTTCGATATTGAAATTTCATTGCGATGAAATTAATACGATTCAAATATACACTAATACACCAAAAAAAAAAAAAAAACGTACAAACAAATCACTCACGTTTTGGTTAAACAAGTTTGAGGTTAAATGAGATAAATTCTATATCGCGATGATAAAACGTTATTAACCTCGAACTTCGAAAGAAAGAAAGAACACTAAAATCAATATTTCGACTGCACGAATTGATGATGAACATAAGTTACCGAACATAACCTCAAAATTGAAAAGAGGAAAAATTAAAATCGAACATTCAACTACAGAAAATATTAACGATCGGTTAGACCGATGTAAAAGATCGAAAGCGTAATAAGTGGTCACGAATTCGAAGAGAATCGTTTGCAAATTGTTTCGTTACACGAGAGAGAAACACAGTGTTGCACAATTTACGAAGTTACAGTGGCAATCGCCGCAGAGTAGCAGAATGGTCTCGCGTGCACGATTGCGTGTGAAAGGCCAAACAGGGCCACTGTTCGTTCTACGAAACGAGGCTACACGGTGAAAGAAGAAGCTACTCTTACATCGTTTGTTTTTCCATGGGCGAAAGCTGCTTCGTTGTAATTTCGAAATTTTATCGTCGAGACCGATCGTGCATCGTGAAGTTGCCTCTTGTTAGGAATAGTTCGAGTGGAAGAAATTTTCGAGGATGACGTTACTGTGAAAGGAGAGTGGCTGGATCTATAGGGAATTTCGAGACGGAGTCACCGAGTATTTTTGTTGGTTATATCGATACTACACTATATACATTATATAACTAACTTCGCTTGGCTCGTTATATATTCCGTAACACGAAATGTGGATAATAAAAGTGAGTTAGTTTGTTTTAAATATACGATATAATGATATATATACGTGATGGTATTACAGTTGTATAATTTTAATAATGTTTTGAAAATGACTCACGAGAAATTTGATTAGGTTAGAATACACGAAACGTTATTTTATAAGAAAATTCATCTAGAAATTCTATTTTTTTTTTTTTTTTCTTTTTGCTAGAACAATCAAATCAAACGAACGGATTTCATATTTTTTGTTTTACAATTATCGAGAACGTGAGAACGTTTTTGAACGTGAAAATTAACATTGTAATTTATCGAGATAGAAACGTAATTACACATATATACCTACTTATTTTCATCGCTCTAATTACAAATCATTTATACGTAAAATAAATAGTAAAGGTATTACAGACCGACAGATCCAATGTTAAAAAGTAAAAAAAAAAAAAAAATACGAATAAAGAAAATTACGAAGAAATACAAATAAATGCAATTTAACTCGCAGCAACTGTTAGACCGTGTCTATACTATTAACTACTTTTTAAAACTTGAACAAACGTTTTATTCCTTTTTTTCAGCGCAAAAAAGAGAGATTTTTCCTCAAGTCCTTAAATTAATAGCAGTAACCGATCCTAAACCACAGCTTGCCACCACCGGTCGATCGAGACCGACACGCATCCAACAAAAGCAATCGGAGAAAATCCGCTCGAAGGAGCAACTTTGTTCAACCTTCGAAAGGCCAGTCACACCGGTGATGAATTTCGCTTTAGCGAGGGATCCTTGGCCTGCGTGCAAGGTCTTCGCCAAAGCGGAGGCCCGCTTTCGTCATCGATACGCCCATCGTGATTCGAAAGGCATCCGATTTCTCGCGTGTGTGACCTCTCCTTTCACGTGGGGCAGGTCGTGCCATGGCC